AAAATGGTTTACAAATTTGCACCGGCCGAAATTAACATACTGCTCGGTACACATTATTTTGGCCGGTATGCAACTTTTGGACCGGTACCATTGAGAAATTAACTGGTATGGTATAATGCCCTATAGTATACCAGGTTTATGACAAATTCGGTATGTACTAGAGATACCAACTGGTTCAGTATGAGATTCACAACTTGTTTAGAAGATTAACAGCTTAATTGAGGAGCCAATACTAGGATTATTCCTATGGAGCAAACCTTGTTTTTGATGCTCTTTGGCTTCATATAATAATCTGAACATCTTTACCAACAGCTTAAATTGGTTTGATGGTCTCCAAACCCTCTTCATTCTTTTATCCATCGCTTTACTATATACTAATTTATATCTCGTCATGCTTATCTTGTGCTGAACATGTATTTTTGTCCGTACGCTGTGAGAGCTGTGCTGTACACTGTGGCAAATGCACTCATCGATGTTCAAGATTTAATTCGAGGTGACAGTTACGATTTTTACCATTACTACTATAAAGGTATGCTTTTCTAATTCAATCTTTATTGGGAATTAATACTCATTCCTTTGTACTATGTTTATGCGCTTACATGTCTTTTTCATTTTGTTATTCTAATAGATTCCGAAGGCATATTTCTTGAAGTAATAGGTCAGTCTTAATTTCACCTTCTTTTTATTTTATTTTATTTATTTTAAAAAGAACTACTTTGTGGGTAATAGTGATACATAACTATGTGATGTGATCCTATTCCTAATTTTTTGTGATAAGGTGGACTTATTCTGGCAAGAACTTTGCTGGGGCTATCCATCTTGATTGCAGTTATTGTGTACAAGTTTCGCAGGAGACATTTGTCTGTAGATGATACAATTGAAGAGTTCCTTCAAAAGCAGAACAACTTCATGCCTATTAAGTACTCCTATTCTGAAATAAAGAAAATGACTAGAGGTTTCAAAGATAAATTAGGTGAAGGAGGTTATGGTTCGGTTTTTAAAGGAAAGCTTCGAAGTGGTAATTTAATGGCAGTAAAATTATTGGGCAAATCAAAAGCTAATGGCCAAGATTTCATCAATGAAGTTGCTACCATTGGAAGGGTTCATCATGTTAATGTTGTGCAATTGATTGGATTTTGCATGGAGGGATCTAAACAAGCTCTTGTATATGATTTCATGCCAAATGGATCCTTGGATAAAATCATATTTTCTGGTGAAAACAACACATCTTTAACCTATCAAAGAATGCTTGAAATTGCTCTTGGAGTGGCTAGGGGGATTGAATACTTACATCGAGGATGTGAAATGCAGATTCTACATTTTGATATCAAGCCACACAACATCCTTTTGGATGAGAATTTTAATCCAAAAGTTTCAGATTTTGGCCTTGCAAAATTGTATCCAATAGATGACAGCATTGTATCTCTTACTGCAGCAAGAGGTACTCTAGGATATATGGCTCCAGAATTATTCTACAAGAATATTGGAGGTGTCTCATACAAAGCTGATGTCTATAGCTTTGGAATGTTGTTGATGGAAATGGTGGGAAGGAGAAGGAACTTAAATGCATCTGCTGATCATACAAGTCAAATATACTTCCCAAAATGGATTTCTAAACGTTTTGATCAAGGAGAAGATATAGAGTTGGGAGATGTTACTGATGTTGAAAAGAATGTGCTGATGAAGATGGCCATAGTTGCATTGTGGTGCATACAAATGAAACCTGCCATTCGTCCTTCCATGACCAAAGTCTTGAAAATGCTTGAAAGTGAAATTGAGCTCCTTGAAATGCCTCCTAAGCCTACTTTTGTTCCTTCCGAATCACCGGCTCCAAATCATGGCGATATAAGTCTAGCAACTGCGCTAACCATGTCGCTTGATGCTAGATCATAATGCTCTACTCCAAATGCATTTCTAGGTGAATACGCATTCACAGCTGGTAGCATTGAATATTGTGTCATAATCCTATATTGTTGCTTTGATAGATTACCTACTCAATTTTCTTCCTATAAAATATATCAAATTCCTCGTGCCATTTTTCTATCTGTGAATTGCAAACTATTGTTTGAATCAAACTAATCATTGCCAGAATTCCATTATCTTTTAGCAATAACATGTTGAGTAGTATTTTACACAGACTGCCCTCTTGGTCCATCAACTTAGTAATCAATTTCATTTGGGTTCCTTGACATTGTAACTTACAGGAAATAAACACTAATGTCCTTTGTTGTGTAAAGGGTTTTGGTTTCTTTAATTTGGTTACTTTCCCATGTCCAAAAGTTGGAACGCAAAAGGCACGTTAATTACCGTCGTAACACGATTTTTGCTTTGCATTTTTTTGATATTTTTGCAGTTAAAATCTATTTTGATTTTTTTATTTTAACAAAAAGTTTTTTTTAATCTCTCTATTTAAAAAAATAGTTTTTTTGTTTTTAAAGTTTAAAATCTAGTCTTTTTTAATATTTTTGTTATTTTTTACATATATAA